AGGATGGTTGGAATTTACAAAGGAACATTAAGTTGGCTGTCACAGGAACACTCTAAAGGAGAAATACTAGCCAACATTCCCATAAGTTCAAATACTTCTCACAGAACTTGCATATATGTATGGAGAGTTGAGTGAGTGAGAGAGGGTGTTTAAAATACTTACACCCTTACTAAATGTAAGTGACGGAAGAGCTTCACTCTTGCTCTTTCACTCCTCTCTGGGTAGGTGAGACGGAAGTTGCACACAGTGCCAGCCATCCAGGCCAAAGGGATGCATGTTTTTGCCTGGTTCCTGTCCCTGTTTAATATTGTCTGCTTACAGAAAGACTGTCAGACAGCCCATGAGAGGAGATCTGCCCTAGCCTCTGTGAGGATTAACTCTATAGTTCTCCTGGGGTGGTTCAATTATGCTCTACTGGTGGCCATCACAGGGGAAGTTTGAATGAGAACTCCTGTAACTTAGTTAAGGAAAACATGGCGTGTTTTCTTTGCCCCCTACTCTGTAAATAATTTATCTTGGAGCCCAGCCCACACACATTCCTTTCTTCTTGTACAAGTGCTGGTGTTTTTCAGTCCACTGTGGAAGCGCGCTAATTGTGGAATTTTTAAGCTCACTTTACAAATGCAAAGGGTTCCTTTACTGCATTCAGGCCTGATGGCCCTCTCTTCTGACACACACAGAAGGGTGAAGCGTGAATGACAGTGCAGCAAGAGGAGGCATAAGAGAGTCAATGAACCTGTTGCCTGTGGAGTCAGCCTTGGGGTCTCTACGGCTTACGTCCTGGCAGCTGCTTGAGGAACTCTCACAAAGTTGCTTGCTCCAAATCTCCTTTGAAAGACTTGGGATGTCGAGAATCCCCCAGGATGTAGGGATTAGCACCATGGGAGTTGCTATTTATAGAGGCTTGTTTATGTTTGAAGTAAGGGCCAGTGAACTCTATCCTTGGGGTTGGATATGCTGAGGTCAAAGTTGAGAATGGTGCGTCTTTCCTACTAGGGTAGGAAAGGCTCCTGCTGGGCTGGTGCTGTTCTTCAGGGAGCCAAAAGAAGGGCTGAGGACATGAGGCCTTGCCACCGTTTCCCAGTTCCCTTTGCTAAGGATTTCTCAGCTTTACTGCAGTGTTTAATAATTAAAACCAAACCCACACTAAACAACCAACACCCTCAGCTGAGGGATGGCCTCATTGTCTCCAGTAAAAACATCTGGTCTGGGTTGACCTAGTTTTATTTCTTCAGCCTATCCCTATCAAAAACTGTGGTGATGGCACAACACTGAAAGCAGCTCTTAGTAAAAGGACGTGGTGAGAAACTTTAAAGCAGCAGTGACTTATAAACATGCAAAGGCCAGGGCAGCAGGAGTGAAACTGCTCTGTGGTTACCCGCTAGTAACTGAGAATTTCCAGCTTTAGCTCCTGGTAAGTGCTGATGACAGAATGAACTACATAATGAAAAATCTGTTTAAAATGCAGAAGGAAATAGTTCATGTGGGCAGATCCTGAACTTGAATAAATTCACTTGTTTTGGTGTCTGTGGAGTTCATTAAGCAATGCCTGCTCCCTTCAGCAAAAGATAAAGGTCAAAAGGAAATTCAGGGAAAAAGATTAGAACCCTTCAGCTGTGATTTCACATATGAGCTATGGCCTAAAGATTTTGAGTGCTGTTGCTTGAGACAGGTGTTAAGGGTTTTATTGCTATATCTTTGGAAGTGGGCCGCAGAAAATATATGGACTCAGTCAGAGATCAGTATGATCAGACAAAAGCCGTTTATTACAAAGCCTTAACCCCTTAAATATTGTTTCTTACATGCACTTACAGTGATTTGGCATATTATGATTGGATACATGTCTTGAAGACCCTTAGTGACTAACATATAATTGGTTAAGCATAGGTGTGAGAACCTGACCTCGAAAGCTTGCCAACAGTCCACAGTTCTCATTAACTCGGTGAATTCCAGCTTCTTATCTTGCTTGTTTAGGCTTCCTCTGGCCTCTCATGGCCTTGCTGTATCTTTCAGGATTATTCAGAATTTATGTACCAATTATCCATTCTCCTGTGAGAACACTGTCTCCACATCTCCCCCTTTTTGTTTTATATATGTTTTGGATGACTCTACTTGAGCAGGGGATTTGGGCTTGATCATATCTCCAGCATATGCCGACTGCAGGCTGCTGGGCCTGCCCCTTTTTTCTGCTGTATGGCTCTCTGGTAACAGGGGAGGCCATTCTTCACATCAAGGTCTGGCATGGCATGTGTCCCCACCGCTCCACGCCTGCTGGGTTGCAGCCAACAGCAGAGCTAAAGGTTCTTCTTGGTGGCAAACACAGAGGCCAACCCAGTGAAGTGCCTCCTGTTTTAGGCAGCCTTGCCTCAGGGATTGCTGGCCCTGTGCTTTTGTAATAGTTATTTGCTGAATTAACGTGTCATTAAAGTAAATGGCTTCTGGAAATCTAAAGAGTGGAGATAAAGATCGTCCTCCTTACAGAGTGCATGTGAATAACCATAGGTGCTTTTCTTCATTCACAGTGTTGACATTTGGTTACTTTATGGGAGAAGGAATCAATCAAGCTAGTGATGAAGTCTGCAGCTTTTATTAAAACTGAAGTAGGTTGTGTGTTCTAGCAACTGAGTAATTTGGGTTTCTGTTTGTTCCCTAACAAGATGGTACAGAGCTGTCTCTTGGTGTGGTTTGGAATAAATCAAGCTGGTTCCTTTTAATTTGAATGTATTTGGGAATATTTATTTGACTTCTTGACAATTGCTGATTCTGGAAAATGGGCAGTTTTGTTGGCATTAAAATGACAGAAAACTATTGATGTCTCACGCACTGTTAAACATGCCACTGAGCTGGTGTGTTAGAAAGGAGATGAAAACGTAATTGTCCTGTTGTTTAAAACCTTTGTGAAGTTTGTTGTGCTCCTGAGCCATGTTTCAGTGAAAAAAAATACCCACAATAGTCCAAATTACTTCTTTCCTCCTTAGTGGCTTAAAACAAAAAGTTAACTTGAAAGTCCCTGAGTTTCAAACCGTGATGTTGTTTCATCCATGAGCAGAGGACTGTTACTTGTCTGAGATTTTGTACCAAAGTATTTTTTGCATGTGGGGTGATCTAATAAAAGGCTTGAAAACTTTTCATCTGCTGGGGAAAATGGGGCCTGGAAGTAAGTAAATCCTGTAACTAAAATGATGGCTAGGCAGCACTGAGAGCACACTTTACTTTCAGGGTCTAATTAAGTATAAATATCTTAATAAAATTCTGCAAAGAACTGTGTTAACCTAACTCAAGTTTGCAGCAAGATTTGCAAGTATAGACTGGGGTTAATCTCTTTAGATTCTAAAGCGAGATCATAAAAGTGAAAAGGTACAAGCTGTGTGAATAAGTATGCAGAAAGCTAGTATTTTTCTGGCTGTGCCTGATAAGTTGTAGCACAGATGATAAACAGCATCATTATTTCCCTCCTGTGGAGTGCATTCTCCATCTCAATTCATTTGAGGTCTTGAGCACAGTAATACTTATATATATATTTCATTTTAGGTGGACTCGTAGAAGACAATAGGAGATAAACAAGGGATTTATTTTCAAGGTGTATTTGAAATTATGGCAGTTCAACATGTAAAAAAGACAACATTGGAAACGTTAAATAAATGAAGTGGTGACTGTGTTATAATCAAGTCACACTAATTTCTGCCTTGTTCTCTTAGCAGCCAGTAAACTCCTAGATTGAAGGCATTACTGCCTAGAAGATTTGCAAAGTAAAGTTAGACCCAAGTTGTATCCCGAGGGGAGCCAGTAGAATGGCGACAGGCAGAATGGATTCCGTAATGATCAGGCTGCTATTTCAAGGCTCACTTTTTGCTAGTCATAAGGATTTCTAGCACTTGGAAATAGTTCTTATTTTAGTACTTCACAGCTCTTAAAGGCAGCCACCAGTCCATTTGCGCAAAGGATAATGCATTCCATCTACCAGCCAGTGCAAAATGCTTCTTTCACCTCATTGCCCCCGACCTACTGCCTAGCTGGAGTCTCTTCACTTGCAAACACCAGTATCTTTCAGTTTTTTTGAAGTCCAGTATAGGCACTGGGGAATTTGCTTTTAGGTTGCATTACCTATAACTGTGATATGCATCACTGCACAGCACCACACAATTGTTAAGAATACCATTCTGTTCCTCACCCTGATCCTCACCTGCTGTAGACCAGCAGAGCTCTACTGTAATTGACAGGTGCTATGGTTAGATCCTAAACTGGGGATCCCAGAAATGTAAATAAACTGTGTACATCCATTCACGTTAAAACTTTCTTCCATATTTCAGCTAGATTTCTCCAGGCTGTACATCATGTAAACAGTAACACAAACTAGCTTTTCTTACAAGGAAAGTAGAGAAAATACTTTTCCTTATTTCTTTTTTCCTTTCCTTCTTGCCACTTGTATACTACTATTAACTGGAATTTAAAAAAACAAAATCTGATTGCGATAAAACTTTGAAGCATCTGAAAAAAACCTGAACATTTTACCTACTTAGTAAATGATGAAAAAAATCTCTTGGTGTGATCTCCATTCTGTAAATCCTTCACATTTAAAGAAAATTGAGTAATCATTGGAGCCCTTTATGAACTAGCATCAAGTCCTGTCAGTCTCCTACAGAGTAACACAGACTAGGGCTGAGCACGATTTCACCCCACTGCTGAAGTTTGGGGCCAGCTTATCTTTAGAGATGAAAATGTTACCACCAATGCTATGTGGAACACATTATAGCTCGGGTAAACTTTGACTCCAGTTGGAGTCAAACAGCATGTTGGTTCCTGCAAAACTGGAGTATTACCCTAATGTAGTCCTTAGGATTCTGCATTTTCTTTACAGGCGTGAGGAGAGTAATCTGCAGTTTGTGGTTCAGCAATATTAACCAGCCAAAATACTTTAACTGAGGAGAAAAATTCAGTTCCAAATGTAGCCTTTCTAGAAATAGATCTGGAAATGTTTTTCCTGTAGAATAACAACTCAGTTAAACAAACAGCACTTTATTAAAATGAGTTAGATACTTTCTTAATGCTTAAGAATATTACAGCATTCACAAAAATGAAAAAACCCGGAACAAACAACAAAACCAGCCCCAACTTAAATAACATACCAGAAGTTACAACTGAAAAGCAAACCAGGCAATTTAAACACCTAAACAAGTATGACAAAATGCAAGACCTAAGTGCATACCCTTGATGTGATGAGGCAATGAGAACAAGAAAAATATCCCTTCAGAATAATGCAGCATCTAAAGGTGTAGAAAAGCTTGTATCATGACTTAACATACAATAAATCCTAACTTTCCTTGCATAATAAATATAAAGCATTTGCATGGTGTGCTCGTCCTATTTTAACAAAGGCTGTTAAGGCTTAAAATATTCTTGTAACATTCAAAACACATTTGTGTTGTTATATGCTTTGACACACGTATCAAAATGACCAACTGCTGCATCTGAATTCCAAATGATAGTACATCCAGAACTCCAGTAACAAATGTCCAATACCTACCTACCCTTTCTTTCACCTAATCATCACTAACTTAACAGTAGCAGTTATTGTTACATTCCTTTACCAGATTCTGTGGAATATTCCATCATGCGCATAGACTTTATATTGCAATGCACTGATGTTTAATGGTTATTCTTAACACTAGTTTTACAGTGGCAATCTAAGATGCATATTGACTTTTTTTCAGCTCCCGTAAGGAATGCACAAAGGTTGAAAGAGTAAACTATTATACAGCAAAGGTCAGAATAGTGCAGGTAAGTGCCTCTGAAGGAAGTGGAGAGAAACCCACTTATTCGTTCTTTCCAGTATTGGCAGAAAGATCTGAGACAGGAGGAGTCTTCCGTGACAGACTTCCATTGACTTCTTTCTTTCTTATCTGACCCCTGTAAACAGGACAAAAAAAGAATGATTTTACAGCCTGTTCTTCCGTAAGATTATTGTCTTTTAACTTTCTGCTCAGAAAAGCTGAGCATCGTGAAATGTAAATCTGAGACTCCTAGAACATTCACTGCCAGCTTAGCAGAGCTTCTCTCAAAAGACACAGGAACATAAAAAGAGCAGGTATTACCTGTCTTAACATTAAAGCTGCATGTCAGTATAACTGGTTTGTAGGTCAGGTTGTGTATCTGGGTATGGTATGGAAAAAAAAAAAGACATATTTTCTAGAATTGGTGGGCAGTGTTACAGACCTGGCAGCATGACCTACAGGAGTGGTACAGTGCCCTGGAACAAATACAAGTACACTGGGCCTTGCACAGTCATCCTGACGATATCACAAGCCCAACAGGCAGTTTTGTGTGTCCTTGAGAGCTGCGCAAGAAGCACAGCTGTGATGAAGGAGCAAACTGAGAACGTTCTTCTTGCTCTTCCCTATGCTTAAGAAGTGATTACCGTTACTCATTCCCTGAGAGATATTTAAGCAGCCAACAGGTGACACTCCAGCACAACCTGCTGGTGCCTCTTAGTCCTAGCCAGATGCTTGGGAAAAGCATGGCTAAGGCCATGCTGATGCAAATAGGCCTCCAAGCCTAAAGTACTGGGTGACATAACTGGCAACCTGCATATGTGCAGCATCCAGCAAACCCTGTAATTTCTATTTAGGCCACACTGTGCCTTTTAAGTACCCCTCTGCCTATCCCTAATCTACAATTAATTTTGGTCCGTTACTCTACAAAAGCAGGTAAGCAGACTGATATGGGTTATCATGAAAAAAGAACTGAAAAGGCAAATCCTCTAGGTAAAGTCCAATTGGGAAGTGTGTTTTTATGACACTTAAAGCAGCAAATATTCTGAGGGAGACAACGTTTTATTTGATTGCTTGATGTTGTGTTGTGTTAGCGCATGCACATTTAAGGACTGTTTACATTTCCTCTTTTCTGAATCACGTTCAGGAAAGGTTCCTGAATGGGTATGTGCATTTCCTGAAGAGGAAAGAGGGCATGTATTCACTCTCATTAAAACATATATTGATGACCAGATATTTATATGCTGCACATTAAGCCACCAGGGTAGCCAAAGACACTCTAGTATTCAAGAAATATGTGTTAAACTAAGCAATGGTGGCTCACTGAGAATAACTGAAGTAATCAATGCACTAGTACAGCTGCAGTTTGAAAGCCAAGCATGGATCAAGCCATCGATACTCACCCTGAAGCACACCAGTAGTTGACCAGAGTTGAAAGAACGATATAACAAAAACTCAGCACTCCAGAAACTCCCAGTGAGAGCGCACTCAGGCCACACAGCACACAAAGGAGGGCTATGCCACCTATGGCTATCACAACACCTAATAAAAGAAAATCAGTTTGTTATTTCAACAAGTTTATATACAAGTAAATTAGAAGAGCTGACATTCTACCACAACCCCAATTTCACTCCATTTGGGAAAACAGTCTTCTGCAATCAACTAGCTAGCTTTTATAAAAGCTAGGTCAAGATAACTGGTTTAGGCATATCCTGATGGCTGCAATTAAAAAGGGAAATAGGATTTCCCCTGTATAATCTACACTTAATCAGATTACTACTCTTGTATTTAGAGTTTTCATGCTGCTGAGACCTGAGGACTCAATTGCTTGAGCTGGGAACTTCAGAACGAAGAAGGAAAAAAGGAGAGGACAACACGCCTTAAAAGGCAGTAAATAGGTTCATACATTCATGCATACAATACCTTCCATGACTATCACACCGATACAGGCCATTATGGCTGTTGTAACAACAAAAATCAGGAAGAATGCAACAGGAATAGCAGACACTGCAATAAACACTAGGAGTGATAAGGCAATAAAAGGATGGTCATCTAAGTACTGGCCAACACGAGAATTCATAAATGCAACAACCTGTGGATGAAAGAAAAACATTTCAGATTTTGTTCTTATGTCTTGTCATAGGTAACTTTTAAAGACAACTGTTACTTCAGTGAACTACAGGTAGCATCTTTTTCCAAGTCTGCAGCTTGAATAAAGGAGAGCCGTTGCCTTTATATTTCAAAAACATGAGGACTCGTTGCAAATTTAGATAACTTCATAGCAAATACAATTCTACCAAACCCAGACATGTTTCTCTTAGACTTCCCAGTTCCATTCTTACACAAAGAAAAAACAACCAAAAAACCCAAACTGAAAACAAGTGAAAAAAAGAACAAATCACAGATTAGCTGCACAGATTTCAGAGGTGTCTCCAGAGCTATGATTTTAATCTAGAGAAATGTATTTATTAAGAAAAAAAAACTGTAACATTTAGAAATTCTGTTATTTTTCTTTTTTTCCATGCCTCAGTAATATCTGCAACCTGCTCATTTACTGAGCATAAGTCCAGTGCGGGCATGTCTGTATCAAAATTGTTGGGAATTTAATTATAATGTTACTGGTAGGAAAAAAAATCCTTTTTACAGAGGCAGTCCTGCTTTTACACTGGATTTTTACTGTAGTATTGTATACTAAAATATGTATTTCCCTTCCCTTAAGGAAATACCTGTTGTACTTTTAGTTCTTTATATAGAAGCATAACCGTTCCACTAAAATACCACTCTATTCTCTCAAAAGGTTATACTAGTATGACACAGAAATGCAGAATGAGCAGGCTTCCCTGACTGATGAAGATGCGGGAAGACAGCCCTTCCTGTAGGCTCCTCAGTGTTCACATAAAAAAAGGGAGTGCCAATTCCTCCTCCCCCCCAGTTTTGAAATTGCATTTAAATAAATTGGGATGTGATACTCTGAGAGTTATGAAAGTAGTTTCTTTATAGATACATTAAATTATAATCCAGACCCACATTTGAGTTGCTGTGGATGGCCTGCACCATGGAGTGCCATTGCTTCTGCAGTTCTTGCATTTCTTTAGACATGCTGTAATCCTCAGCCACAGTCATGTATCTTCTGAGCAACCAGTTCTCACTCAGCCATCCAATTTTCCTTAAAATTAAGGTACAATTAATAACAGCCTCATACAGACATCTTTTGATAATGAAGTCTTCCTTTTGCAAACACAGAGAATGTAGATTATAGATGTTAATCTGACCCACAAAGTCTAAAATGTTGCTTTTACAAAAATTCATCTAAATGCAAGGGCTTGCCCTGCAAGCTCTGCTAAAACCCTTCAAAGCCAAGTATAAAGATACAAGGTGACTTTCTTCTTCCTTTGTAACATTAACCCTGCATTTAACCATGAGGGTGTTAATTTACCAGTAAAAGGGTAAATTCTAACTATTCCCAAAGACTATTTGTCACTCCTAGTGCTGGAAACTTGTCCCATATTAATGAGACTTGGTTTTGTGAGCAGCTTCATGTTTGGAATTGAAGCCACACCCTGTACAGTTTCCACCCTACATGTAGAGGCAAAATACTTTCCAAAGGCTCTGAACATAGAATTATAGAATAGTTAGGGTTGGAAAGGACCTTACGATCATCTAGTTCCAACCCTCCTGCCTCCACCCTAAACCATGTCACACAAGGCTGTGCCCAAAATGGCACTGAACACTGCCAGGGATGGAGTGTATTCAGCGTATTGAATTGTGATGGTGTAAAGGCAACATCAGGTAAAAGATCTGTTCCCTCATCAAAACATAACGTGCTGTTGCGAGGGGAACCCTCACCAATGGAACAGTAGAAGGTATTTTTTCCTACTTGTAAATCTAAACAAGTCACCGTGTCCATGCTCGGGTTATACTCTGCCTGCACACACGGTCCCCCCTTTGTTTACACAGCACTTTCACTAGGCACCGGCGAGCAGACCTCGGGCCGAAGGAAGCCGCCCCTCACGAAGCAGCCCGCACCCGAGGCGCACCGCTCACTCCACCACCCCCGCGGCCCGCACCGGACCCTCACCAGCGAGGTCAGGAGCCGATAAACCACACCCCGCCATGCCACTGCTGCCACAGCGGCTGCCACAGGGGCGATGCCGTTGCCCTTAAAGTGGGTCCCCGGGTAGCGGCCGAGCCCCGAGTCTCTGTCCCGCCGTTCCCGGCCTCCCGCGCTGCGCACAGCGCGGGGCTCCCCACCGCGCGTGGCGGGAGGAGGCCGTGCAGGACTGAGAGGTCAGCGCTGGTGCCTGACAGGCTCCTCCGCCGTGGACGGGGGGCAGCGGAGGTAAGGGGCACCCGGCTCCCGCCGGCCCTCCCACTACGGCCGAGCGGCGGCCAGGGCGAACAGGCCGGCCTCTGGCCCCGGCCAGGCGGAGCAGGGCGGCGCCGCTCCCCACCCGCCCTCTGAAGAGCCGCGGCCGTCCTTCTCACCTGCCCGCCGGGCCGCGGTCTCTCGCAGCGGCTTGACCTCCCGCCCGCCGCATGCAACACCCAGCGCGGCCCGAGCTGGGCCTGCCGGCGCTCAGGGAAGCGCCGGCGCTGTCTCCTCCCCGAGGGGGCCGGCGGCGCTGAAGAGACGAGAGAGCCGGGGCAGGCCCCGGCGTGGCGGCGCAGGCACCGGGCTGGGTGTTTGGCGAGGAAAGGGCCTGGGAGGTTTCCACTTACCGCCGGATTTGAGGGGCTTGTATTTATTTCCCTTTCATGTCCCCCTTCACGTCCTGCCTTTCACCACCCAGGTCCTGCCTCAGCCGCTCCGGTCTTGGCAGCTTCAGGGAGGGTCCCAGAGGATTGTGTGGCTTTAGGACACACAGCCCTGAGGTTTTTCGAATTGAGAGTAGAAGACGAGGGTGGCTGTGCTAGCCACACAGTTCCTCCCTGTGGGAAGCACAGACGTGCAGAGGCATGCTTAGCCTTTAGAGACTGGGGTGCCACAGGCCGGGGTGAGAGGAGCAGCTGGGGTGTATTCAGCTCCCACATCGCTTTGGGGCTGCATCTCACCACTCGTGTGCCAGGAACTGCTCAGATACATGTCGACAGTCCCGCCATCCCCAGCTAGAGGGGTTGCTGCCATCTGAGTGGGAGGCTACAAAGGCAGCTTTCAGTGAGTTGTGACTATTGGGCAGTCACGCCGCGGGTTGTTTGGAATGGCAGCTGTGAAACACTTCATCTGGCATAACCACCTTCCCCCTATCTCTAGTTACTTGTTCCGGCTCGTTTGCACCCTGTCCTGCTGTCTCCACGGGTGTTTGGGTGGCCACATGCAAACCTGTTTGGGGAGATGCTCCATGTGAGGAATAATTCCTTCAAAAATTTAGCTGTGCTTTCAGCAAGATCAGTGCATGCTTTGGTGTCTCAGCGTTTGGATGGGACTGTTCATCTCAGAAATGATGCTCGGTGAGGTTATCGCATGATGCCTGCCCATGGCAGGGGGTTGGAACTAGATGAACTTAAGGTTCTTTCCAACCCAAACCATTCTATGATTCTGTGGCTTGGCCTGGCTACTTTCCAGAGCCATCGCACGGGTATTTTATGCAAGTGTGAAGATTCAGTGGATTCCCAGATTTTGCTACATAGATTTTTTTTTTTTTTGCACTGTAAATTAGCCAGAAATGAGTAAAATATTCATGCTTCTCATGACTGCTTTGATAACTTTTTTATTGGTGCTGCCCAGGAGAGTATTGCAAAACTGAACATTAATGGTTTCGTGATTATTTTTTTAAAGGCAATAAAATAAATAGCATGCTTAATTTAGAGCATGCCAATCTTACAAATGCAAAGAGGGGGGTTATAAAGTTTATATGAGGTTTTTAACCTGTCAGACTGTCAGGGCTCAGTGTCTTTGAGGTGCTGATTTCAGTGAGCTCCGCAGGTACAAGGATCTGTGTAGACAGAGGGAGTGAGAGATTTGCATATTAATGCCAGTTTGGACTGTGGGCTCAAAAAGCCCAGCACAAGATACCTGCAAAAAGAGAATTGGGAGGGCAAGTTTATTTTGGTTGAACTGTTAGTCTTTAGATCTCATATTATTAAAATACATAGTGTATTGATATTCCTAGTAGAGTAGGGTATATAAAATTAAATTTCAATGTGTTGATTTTGCATGGTTTTCTAAGGTGATCACAGGGAATAACTGGTAGAATTACGGTGTGACATAATCTAGTGATAATGGCACTATAAAGTGTAATGGCTCCACTGAGTTTAGAAGTATGTTGGAGGTTTTAAATTTCTGCCTGGTATTGAAATATGCCATAGCTGTGGTTTTGGAGATAGTCATATACATCTTAGTAAATTATTTTCCTGCTATGCATAATTAGTTATTCAGCTAAAAATTCACATATAATCTCTTTCTTTATAAAATAATTGCTTTTAATGTTTCCCAAGCTGAACAAGTAATTTATTTAACTTCAAAGGGCATGCATATGTATGCATCAGAGTTGTTGTGTGGATTGCTTAATTGAGCTTGTCTTCATGCCAGCATCAGCTTGAATTAGCAGGAGGATGCTCATGTTGCAAACCAGCACTAAAATGTTCGGGGAGTTATGGCACATACAAGCCAAGTGATTGCCAGCTCCAGCATTGCAGTGCTGGTTCTGTACCCCACGCTGCCGGCCCGTATTTAAAGAGCAGCTTAGGTTATGGTAGGTACTTTCATGTGTGGCCAGGGAAGAACAACGTCGCACTTTGTTGTTGGTGTTATATCAAGATGTAAGAAAAACCCTGCTGTTAACTTAGACATGTCAGCCTTCCCACAGTTTACAGAAAACAGGATGAAAAGTAGCATCCAAAAATGTTCAGAAAGAGTTTAAATTAAAATGGAAGTCTTGCTGTGTTGTCAGAGCTTGGGTTTATATAGCCTTTATTGCTCTGGGAGCTCCCTTGCTGTGTGCAGTGTTTTCATATGAATGTCAGAACATCTCAGATGTCTTAGGACTATATTTTTAGTAGCTTTCAGAGGTAGAAGAAACCTGTACAGTTGCTCACAGCTTCCATGACTGAATCTCCCTGACCACAGCTTGGCACAACACTGTGCTGAAAGGGTCTGTTTTTTCTGCTTGGGGAAGTGCAGGAGGAGGGAATTCCTGTCTCCAAGCACCAGCTATGCTGTAACTGAGGCAACAAAGCTGAGTGTCAGAGGAGTTCACCAGGCTGGAACGGGCAGAGGGACTGGTAACACAGGCACCTGCAGGTAGTATCTGCTCTCACCCTGCTTGATCATGCACTTTGTGGATGTGTATGGCATGCTGGGCATCTCTCTTGATCTTTTTTCCCATTCCTTTTGATGTGTGCTTAGTTCTTAACGGTTATTAATGTGTGGCTCTGTCTGCTGTAAACTACAAGTCAGGGCCGAGAATCCCTGGGATCATAGAAGAGAACAGGCGGGGAGGAAACTAGTTTGGGTCAAAGTGGAAAGAGCATGGTGGAAAACATCTTTCTTGAAAGGCATCTGGAGAGAGTTAGAAATATTAATATGAAAAGTGAGCTTGGAAAGGAATGGAGAATGAGCAAGCGTGTGATCTGGAGGGGAAGAAAGCTTCATGTTGTAAACAAGGAGGAAGAAAGCTGGGATTTTTCTTCTTCCTGGCAATTGGGATTGACCCCTTGTGTAATATCTGAAATGACTCATTCTTTTTCAGTGCTGTAATGACAAGGATGCTTATACCAAGGGGGAGGACTAAAAACTTCTGAGCAAACAAAAAAAGCAAGATGAAGCCAACACAGAGCTCAAGGCTCTTGAGGGTAAGTTCTTTCTGCAGTGACTGTGGAAGATTGGTTACTTTTCCAAAACTTCACCTGAAATAGGCCATTACTGATGACTAGAATTGACATTGGAAGAACTCTTACTTGAAGACACTCATTCTTGTTGAATAGACCTAAGCCTTTATAATATACTTCTTATTAGGAATTCCTTTGCTCAAGTATTTAACTTTCTGAAAGGTTAGGCGGCATATAAAACAAGAGTTGCTTTAGAATGAATGATGGCTTTCTTAGTAACTCTTTTACCTTTAAGAATGAACAAACCTCCTAATAAAGAGCATGGTTTATTCATTTTTAAAGTACCCTAAGGCCCAATCTTTTAGTCATTAATCAAATGCAATTCATGCTGTCTTTAGTGAAATATGTCTGGCAGTGATAATGTCTTGATTTCTATGCGCCTGTGTGCAGGCACACTGAGGAATACCAAAGAGGTAAATAAGATCAGTTTTTTCTCAAATTTTATTTCTAAATGGGCTCTACTTTGATGTTGAGGAGGTCATAGATTTATCTGCTGGAAAAATAGGTCTGAGCAACCTAGTTCTCCAGTGATATGTTAGAAGGCAATAGCCAAGTGCTAAAAATGTATTTAAAATTATGTAAAAATCATTTTATGTTATACAAACATCATTGTATTGAGTAATAACTTACTATTTCATGATGATTTATTTCACTGGTGTTCAGATACCACATACTTCCACCTCCTTTTCTGATAGTGTGACTAATCGGTAATTTGTTCCTCATGACTCTCCTAAACAGACCTGATTTAGGAAACTTGGAGCAGACTAGGGGTGAGGTTTTGGCCTATTTTAAGGAAAGTTGCCATTAAAAAACATTTTAAAGCAGTGTGAGGCTGAATAATTTGGAGAAAATATCCTTAGAGAACTTTATATGGAGTCCTGGAAGGTGACCTTAGAGTATTGTCATTCTGAGGAGGTGGAACATAGTCCTAAAACATATTAGGTATGCTAACATTTGTATTAAGAGACTGCAGAGTCCTTGTGAGCAATCTGTTCTTCCAGTGGCATCCTGGCAATACAGCTTTTTCTGAAACTGGGTCATTATAGACATGAAAAACCCCAGTGTTTTTTTTTTTTTTAATCTGTAGTAACACAGTTCACACAGCTTGGACTGTTTCAGTGTCCAAAACTTGGCAGTCTGGTAGGCTTTAGTATTTTAATGTCCAATGTTTATACCATCACAAACTCCATGGGGAATTTTTAGTGTAACTAAAGATATTTTAAACAATTCGAATTGTTTTCAGTGATATAAAAATGTTGTGGGTTATTTTTTTTTTAGTCTGACATTTGTTGTTGATTAGAAGTTTGATCAAATGACTACAAAGAATGGTGCAATCTGAAAACCTGTTTTGCTGAGGAACGTACTCCAGAGAATGACCATTTCCCTAAAATTATAAAAGTCACAGTACGTCACTTTCAATGAAAACTGAAAGTATTTGTTCTTTTGAATTAATCTTTTTCAAAACAGTGTATTCATGAATGTCTTTGACATTGTTTTCCATTTCTATTTAGTCAAAAAATGAGTCTGTGTATAACATGAGTCACGCAAAACGGTTACCGGAGTTACCACCTCTACCGGCTTCTGTGTCAGCTGCGCCTTCAGAATTGTATCAGGTATGTGCTCTCTCCCCTTGTGTCAGGGTAAACAACATGCATGATTTTAGGCATCATATATTACCAGGCCTTAGGTAGAAGAAGTAAAAATAGGAAGACCTATTTAAATTACTAAGTTAAAGTACTCACCAGATTGTCAGATACTTCTTCAGAGCTGCTCTTAGAAAACTGTTGTACAACTTCAGTTTTGAGTTGGATATTAAACATTGGCAGTTTAAATCTGTTCTAAATTTACAGTTAATTATTTGCTGTTCATTTTTGAGTTAAATATTCTGCGTTTTAAGTTTCTGGGGAA